AGGTTTTGATTTATTTTAAAGATGAAAATAGAACTAGGTATTATTAATAGCTAGGAGTTTATTGACACCTTTTTTTCTATCTGTGTCACTTACATTGTAACCATCCAGCTGTGTTTGGACTGTACCACAGCACAGTATGTTCTCCTATTTCTCCATTATTGTCTGTTATTTAACCATTACCTTTCTTTCTTCTGAAAAAAATAATAAATACTTAGGTCTGCATGCACACACACACTCCTGAGGTCATTTTGATTTTGAATATAAAATACTTGAGACCTTTTTTTATGATTGAAAAAGTGTGAACAAACCACAAATATTTTACAGTATATTGAGCACCATTTCTGATTCAGCAGCAACACAGGACCTCTTTTTCAAATCCAATAATATATCCAGTGAACAATGTAAAGGCACAAATGTTCAATATGAGGAAAACCAAACACTGGCCTGGAAACATCAGCCTTTCTTTCTGGACGTAAAATTACTTACTGTACCAAATATTGATTCCACCAGACTAACATTCAGTAACTGAGCTGTCTGCCATGCTAAACACCCTGAAATGTTAGTGAATGCACCAGCAAATCTCGGGCATTTCAAGAAACCCAAAGCGCACTCTCTGAAGGGTAAAGCATCATACAAAAAACATCATACAAAACCAATGACTGTTCACCTGTGTAGTGAGATTTTTAATCTATTGCAAATTACTGAAGTCAAGGAGGTTAAGTTAAACTGTGAATCTGGTTTATGCTTGCTTTCTTTATGATGTATTTAGGAACTTACCAAAGAAGAATGAAAATGTAACCATGAAAAGGAATAATACTGAGTCTCTTACAACCTTGCAAACGTTTTGTAGAGCAAAGCTATTATTGTAGCTATTTGCCCTATCGTAGAGCAAAGCTTTATCAGTTCTGCAGGTCTTACCTGCATCAGTTATTTTCCTTGTACTGGAGCAAAATGCTGCTTGCTCTACGAATGCAAAAACTGCTTTTTGATTAATTTCCTGTAAATAGTGAAAATTTGACCTGGCTTTTCACAGACAGATTGTTCATGCTGTCCTTATTTCCTTAAGAGCTATTCACCCAAATAGCCTGAATAGTGTAAAGACTGGGTTCACAATTTGTTATCAATATTTATTTCTTTTTTAAATAGGGTGTTTCAATTGTAAACAAGAGAATACAGCAATGGAACCCTTATGGACAAACTTATAGGAAGTAGACAGAGGTTTGAGGGAGACAAGTAATTATAGTAAGTAGGTGTTAGTTACAGGTTTTTACAGTAGGGATGAAAATGTTCAAGCAGTAAAAGCCGCTCTGACCATATTATTTTACCTGAGTAGATTGCACTTCCCTGCATTTTCTTCCTCTGCTTAGTCAGTATGAAAATGCAATTCTACTGAATTCGACAAGTTGCCATTTGACCTTATGTTGATTTAAGCTTCTAGAAGCTCATATCAGCACGAGGTCACTGACAGGCAAAGTCAGTGAATCTAAAAATGGTGCTGAAAAAAGAGATTAGGCTTTACTTGGGTTCAGATTATTTAAACAAACAGAGAAGAATTTAGGGAAAACAAAATTGTGTTTCTCATCTGATTGGTCAAATCACTTTATTAAATGATACAATTTACATCTCTGGCATGCACTCTCAAATAAAGTGTCCTTTGCAATGAACAAAAAGTCTTTAGAAGTGAAAAGCATTTTATGAAGATAATACAGTCTTTTGCTACTAGGCAGAAATGCAATGTGAATAGATATTTGGTTGTGTTAAAGCAAACCAAAATGAAGAAACATTGTGAACAAGAGTTGTGAACATCATCATCTAGCATAACTAAAGAAACTAAACTTTCAGGTATATTGTGTATTCAAACACTCTGCATATTAACAGAGACACTTATGAGAGTGAACACAAAAACCACCTATTTAAAATATTAAGAGAATTTTATCCTCACATTAACTGAGCAGATCTGTGCATTCAAAAACAAATGTAAGAAATACTTGCATTAATATATCCAGAACTCACTCATAACAGTCACAACTATATGCTAGAAGGATGCATTGCTAGTGGAGGAATGGGGTGAAGAACAGAAAGTGAAAAGTGTTGTGTGGTTCTTCATAAAGCTCTGTAGACATTCAGATCTCATTTAGTAGTCTGGGCCTGCTGTTTCCGTTGAAATCAATACATTGTCTCAATCTGTTTTTAGCCCGATTTCCTTTGTAAACAAGGCTATGTGATCTGTCTGCATGCCTGTCTGTATGTCTGTCCTCTCATTAATAATTTTGAAAATGGTTATTTGTTTCATTTCTGTGTGGCAGTGGAATAGATCTCACGGAAAATCCATTGCCCACAGACTGTAAAAACAGACAGCTGGGTGGAGGATACACTTACCAGCATTGCTATTGAGGGGAGTGCTGCAGTGTGAACTCATTCCCTATCAGATAAGAGAGAATCCATATGGGAGAGGGCACTAGTAAATCCTCAGCAGTAGGAAAAAAATCCGTAGTAGATCGTGTTAAACACCCAAGTTAATCAGTGATAAGATACAAAGCCACATGAAATTCAATGTTACTAAGTCTCGTATTCACAGAAGTACTTAATGATGAATTCCTTTTTGTGAATAGAAGGCAATTATAAAACTCCACTTTGTTTTTCTTGGGACATAGGCAGAATGTCAGTGATTCTGTCAGAAACTTCTGATTCTACTGTTCTAATGTGTTTGTTGCGCATTTAGGGAGGGATTTAGAGCTTGATCCTAGAATGTGTTTTCCTGTGTGGCTGTGGGGTCACAGTATTAAATCCTTTTGAATATCACTTTGTATCTTAACTTTTTTTGTAATATCAAAATTTTAAAATTCTTTTGGCAATTTTTAATCACACGTACCTTAAGATTATGCACACGGTTCACCTTCTGTGACATGTACGACCTTAGAATACACAACATTAGTTTCAATGAGAATGCCAAAGTTAAGCAACTGAATCTGAGAATTAAAATAATTGTATTGGGTAAAAATATGCCTTACTGCAAACTCATTAATCTGGTTTCCATTTTAACAATGTAAAGGATACAGTTCAAAACAGAAACCTGAGCTTGACTTGGATACAGGGAATCACTTTATTATAGTAGTATGGACTGCAGTTCAGCAAAATTTGTAAGCATTATATAATTTTCAGAACGTAGGCCTTCTGTGAAATACACATGCACTAGTATTTATTGACTAGTCAAGGCCTTAATGATTCTGAATTATAAAACATAACTGCTAGAGGTCAGTTATACTGAAATTAAGTGAAAACTTGACATGTACTTCCAGGGAGATAGGCCTGGAGCTGAAGACAAGCCTTGAAGGCCAGTAGGACTACCACGGTCCTATTGGTTTCAGTGGGAATATTCCCAGTGATGATAAACGGGGACGTTATGCTGCTCCACAGAGAAAAATATATTTTTTTTCTGTGTGGCAGGAAATTTTACTTTGATTGTGTGGGTGTGTGACTCTGAGGTGCAAAGCTTATTTTAAGCTTTGTTCATGTAATTTTTCTAAAATTTTCTCTTTGCAAATTCATAATTTGTAAAATAAATTTGTAAGATCTTATAGCAACATGATCCTAATTGAAAGGATTACAACTCCCATGTCTTCATTTTCTGCTTGCTCTAAAGATTCAGTTGATTTCAAGGAGAATTCTGTTTGACTAGAGAATTACTGCCAGCTTATACTCATTATATTTTTCATGTAATTATTTGTTTGCATGGGAAGTTCCAGTTCAACTAAACTTGTATTTATTTTTCCTCTGTCCTTCATACCAGTTATATTTTATAATTGCTATAATGGAAAATTTTTTGCAGATGGGAATGTTTTGTAATATATTCTTTCTTACTGCATGTATGTTTTAGTTCTTTCTAATCTAACCACTTTACTCATAGCTGACAACCTTATTGAAACAAAAGATAGTTAACAGTGCTTCTACAGTAATTTTAACTGACTGTGCTTGACAGGCCCTTGAAGAATGCTCCACAAAATGAGGAGGATGCAAAGCACTTTGTGAAACTTGGGGTATTCATTTAATGCTTTAACAACATTTAAACTACCCTATAAGCTTAGAGTACTTATATTTCTAGCCACATAGTTCTATATTTTTTGAATAAGCTGTAAATGCAAGATATGTATCACCAGAAAAAATTATTTACCATCTCTTCAGATCCATCAAGATAGTTGAATTGTAACCAACTGTCCAAACATTTGCTACTTGTACTACTCATACCATGTAACACATGTCATAAACCCTCTTTCACGTACCCATTTCTATGTAGAACAGGTATTGTTCTTGATAAACAACTTTTCTGTGTCTTCCAAACTGAGAATACAAATCTAAAGCTTCCTAAACATTAAGTTACCTAGACACTAAGAATAACTGCACAGCCAGTCAGATTACAAGACACTGTAGCAGTAAATGTTCAGCAAGTAGTGCACTTCACAGAGAAATAAAGGCTGTTCAGCCTCTGGCATGTTTGATAATTTATTAAAAAATTAACTTGCAATCCAGTTTAAATACATTCTAAATACTTTCCTCATCCTTTTTGTTGTTCAAGTATCATGGTACTGATTGCTATTAATAACACCTTTCTTCCTGTTGTGTTCAAAATACTTGATTGATTACAATATGTAAAACTTTATTGAAGCTGTCTTGAAATGTCCATCTGAAATGGATGACTGCATAAGACTCTGAACATCTCCATGTTATAGGGATTCAGGTACCATGACTACAGTATTTTAACTGTTACCACAGTAAAAATATTCATTGATTTACTTTGTTAGCTCTTTTTAATAATGCAATAAAGACAACATATGGCAAATAAGCCAGTGCTTCCAAGTATTTCACTGCCACTGGAACTTTCCCAAGTCTGGTTATGTCTAGTACCTTGAAACTCAGTTGTCAAACATACCCAGAAAACTTACAAGATCCTGTAAAATACTTCTCGCCTTTAAAATGCCCTAATTTTCCTCTTTAATCTTTTTCACATTAACGTAACTTCAAGCACTTGTATTGTCTCCATCTACATCTTTTCTAGATTTTTGTATCGAGCGCATTCATTGCCCCACTTTCATCCCATCCCTCACCCCCAAGAAACGTGTGTTTTTGTCTTTTGACAAACAGAACAATCTTAGGTTAGGTGTAAAACTGAGTCTATTCTAGAGGCTGCTAGCCCCGCAGTTATGTGAAAACTGTGCTCCATTCAATTTTGTCCCCTCATTTCTTTAGTTCAGAGTTGGTCAGGCCAGAGAGAAACTTTCCTTCTCCAACTCAAATCTAAGGCTTGTGAAGCTGGAAGAAGGCAAAATGCGCCAAGCCCTTCAGCTGCTCATGTTGGACGCCTCCATCCCCTTGGCTGTGGATTGTAGTTGGAATCAGCTGTTGACAAGCAATAGTCAGACCTGGAATCCATGGACATTACATCAGGATCTGTTCTGGACCGTTGACTGCTGTACGGATACTGCTGCTGGGAGCCAGCCTGCGTGGTGGCACCTGGGACAGACAGGGAGCTTTTGGGGGATGCTATAATACCCGATTGCTTCCCTCCTAGTAGGGCTATGCTACCACCTGGGGCTGGAGGCTCATGAGAAACTTTTTGTTTCCATTCATCTGGTGGCTGAGGAAGTGTTTTCCTGCGAGCAGCCAATACTACATTAGCAGCAATGGATTCCTGCATATTTTGAGGCTCAAAAGCTTCATCCACAAGGCCGAGAGGGGACCTTGCTGCTGCTTCCCAGGGTGTCAGTCTCTTGCCAGTCTTGTCAGCTGCAGTGTCTGGCTTGCTGAAGTAATCAGGGACAGGCTGAAATATAAGAGGAGCAGTAGGAGATATGGCTCGAGAAATGAATGAAGAAGGTCTCCCAGGAAGTGATAATGAGCGTCCACTGCTTCTTTCCTAGGAAAGCAAAATAACAAATATAGCTACAGTTATTAAACAACAAAAAGAAAATCCCTACTCTTCATTTCCATATTGGAACAGGCCCTTGAAGCACATGACATCCTGGCATTTCCACAGGCATGCCTACGGGTACTTTTTATTTCTTTAGTTTAGTGGAAAGAGAGGACGTATTAAAAGGGAGGCAGAGAAAGAAACAGGAACAAAGACTGAGCAAATTGAATTTTTGAGGAAAGTAAATAGACCAAAGACAGGCTTTTGCTGAAAAGGTACAATTATGTTAGCCACTGTACAGCTTTTCCACTACTTAGCTAGTGTACCTTGTTCTGAAAAGACCATTCTTAAGAATGAAAAAGGAAGTCATGTTGTGACAGTTCTGTGTACGTTTACAAGATTCTTTCCAATATGCAGGCACAGCCTCATTTATTTGATAACAGGCTCTGTCTAGGACATCTGTCCAAGAACGTATCTTTGGCAATCTCCTTTTAAGAAACGCAATTCTTACTTGAAAATCATCAAACTTATCCTAGTTTTCACTTTTCAAGACACAAAAATGAACACAAAAAAATAAAGATGTTAATGAAATAATTCACTTAATAGCCTTACAGGACGCTACTTAACCTGGCTTCTTTGAAAGGCAATGCCCTCAAAATTTCAGTACATTCCGACCCATTTATAGGAGCAATCCATTCATATTTGACAAATCCTAATCTTCTTAGCAATGCAGCACTTTGAAACAGAAACTGTGTTGATGAGAATGTTCTGCTGCAATGGGCAGTGTGTGAGACAGGTACAGCCTTTTCCCCAAGCCAAACGTGTTCTTTGTGTTACACAGACAAATGACATTGTTCTTACCAAGTAAGTAGTCTCTATACATGTGGTTCTAAAACGAAATGATTTACACCCACTGATTCATATCCTGAGGTTTAAATGCCTTCAACTGTGAAATCCAGTGTGAAATTCCTGGCCCTTTTGCCAAAGGCCTTTCTAAAAATTCATTCAAATAACATTGGTCTGTGTTACTTTTCCTAATTAGCTTCCAAAACTTAAAAGACTGTGATCATGATCTAGATACTAACCAGTAGGTATCTGATTATACAAGGTATAGCTTATCTAGCAAATACTCACTTAGGAATGTCATGTTTTATAAGCTTTTCTGTCACAGGATCTTAACACATTTAAGAAACTTCAAAGACCTCTGCTTCACGCAGGCTTTGAAGTTATGTTTCAATATCAGCCTTATTTATGAGAGATGGAAACTGAGAAAGACACTACTAAATTCATAATTTTCAGTCAGTTTGGTGGTTCTTAGTCTGAATCTCTTTAAAAAAAGCATAGAGTGACGAATACAGGTTATGTAATGAGACTTTTGACAGGTTTCACATCTAATGCTTCGTAACGGGACTATCCTTTCACCTCTTCACTATGACCAGCTGTTCTCAGTTTGCAGTTCCAGAGCAGAAGCACTGCAACATTACTAATCCTACCCCCACATACTTATGGCAAATTTTCGTGAGGTTTTACTTCTATCCAGAAAAGAAATACTTCATGTTGGGCAACTTAGCTCAGTAAATTTTTAAGAATCCTCACGTAAACCTGATCATCAGATCAGTCTGATCATCAGACATTAAAATGTAGCTAATCAGATCATCAGCTATAGGCAGGTCCCAACTGAGTACACTAAGATGATAGCATATAAAGAGCATGAATTATCCATTTGGAAGGTAAGTAAATTAATTATTTTTTTTCCCCACAGGTTAAGTGATATACTTGCAAGAATGGATTAAAGGTTCTCTATATCATCACCTAATGGGAGGCATTTCTTTTTCTTACCTGGAAAATAAGGACTGCAGATAATAGATCATGCTAGGGCCAGTAAGTGCCAGACCCAGACAGCCAGTCAGAATACTTCTTCCTCTAATGAATTGCAAGTTCTTTCTTCGCTGAATCCACAAAAATGCTTATTCAGCAAGCCTGGCTTGTGCATTTTGTTTAAACTATTGGCAAGAATAAATTGTTCAAAAGTGCAAAATCAAAATAAGTACGCAAAATGGGAGACAGTTTCTAATATAAATTAATCTGATAATGTGAACCATGAAACTAAGAAGATAAAGTTTTACAGAGGGATGAAAAAGTTGATCAAGCAGGTTCACCCAGTCATTCTGCCTGTGTTAGCTGCACTTGAGGTGGTTCTAGAACATTGTCTGTGCTCAGCAGACAGGAAATTTCCTCTTTATTTAATGGAGATTCCAGTCCCAAGCCCCATGAGTCCTTTGTAGGATTCCAGAGATGCAGAGGGAAATTATACTGTTGAAAGTGCTGCATAAAATATCTGACATTTCAAGACAGTTAAATAAAGGTACTGTTTAGTCTGTCATGTTTAGAGAAAAACTCCAGAGTTCATCAGGTTGCAGAAGTAGCTTTTTGGCCTAACCATTAATGATACAGCAGGACCAATGAATGACCAATAATTTTTGAAGGAAGAGACTATTGATAGAAGGAACTGGCTGAATTCTTTACATTTCCCAAAGAAAAAAACTCATAACTATGCTGAAGGTGGGCAGAAGAGAGTTTGAAGACTGAATATCGAAGAAGGTAAAAATATATTTGGCTAATGTGAGCCTTAGTTATTTTGAATTTCAGCCTTCCCAAAATAAATAGTAGTTGTCATCATCATCTACACTCCCATAAGCTCAAACAGAATGAAACAAAAATTTATATTAATGTTATTTTTAATACATGTAGGAAAACTAAGTATCTGTTTTGTCCTGAAACAATTCTACTAAATTTTGTAAAGTTTCTGCAGCTTGAAGCAGTTATAACCCTTTGGATTCAGGGGAATATCTTTCTAATTTTCATGTCTGTTCCACAGAAAATTGTTGAATTTCTTTCATCACACAAGGAAGAAATGTAACAAATGCATGAGTTATGTGCAGTATGCCTGTGTTTACCTTAAGGAGGAGGAATTCAGTCTCTAAGCCTACTGACTGTTAGATTGTTATGGTAGTATTGTTGTAATAAAAGTAATTCAGTAGCACCCTGCACGGCAGATTTTTGCACATTGCATAGTGACATATTTTTGCAATAATTTATTGCATTAAAATTTAGAACATTTCTATCTACCCCAGCTTTATTCTGAAATTCAATAATCTTTGACTTCAGAATATATATCACTACATTTTTTCACACTCTGTGGCAAATAGGTTTTAGGCACTTGTAGAAAAGCATGGTTTTGCTAAAATATAAGTGTCAGTCAAATGCAGAGACTAAGAGATTATTAATTTTTATTATTGGTAGTGGTGTTCCTACACTAAAAGTCTAGGTCTGAACATTCCTAACTTCAAAGTGGATCTGTATTTGATATTCATGTACTGATTTCTATCACCATTTTGTTGTTCAGCTCCTCCAAACTAACAAACACAAACTTTGGAATTAAGGCAACATTTAGTCACTAGAATGCATCATTCATTTACTGGACAGCAGCAGCCAGACGTAGTCATACTTTCTATTATGTTCCCTTCATGTTTAATCCTTGGAGACACAGCTTTTGACAGCAGGTATTAAAATGAATGCACAAACCCCAGATCGTAAGTGAGAAAGTGGGCAATATAGAGTACAGAGAGAGAGTAATTATTCTATCATCTGTCTCCCTTAAGCTACAAGAAGATCATAAGAAGAGAAGTAGAGATTTTCCATTCCTCTTCCCAGAAGTGAGGGGAGAAGGGAAAGAAGAGTGATATGCCACCAGAATTATTCATTTATCACATGCGGTATTGCTGTCATCTTTTTGTAAAAAAGTCATTATAATACCATACAAGCACTCAAAGTATTATCCTGCAAAACGAACCAGAACCCTATACAGTGATTAATTTTTTCTTTTCCATTGCCCCGCTGGAACACTTTCAGAGGGAAGGATCTTTCTTACAATAGTTACTGAAGGGATAGTGATTCCTGAGTGTCAAGAAGAGGTATGGCAGTTCAGAGCTGCCCCTTGCAATCACAGAATCCTATCAGCACCTGCTGAATGCCCAGGTGTGTGTGCAAACAGAATAAACTTTAGATTTAGGTTAGCATTGATCTTTAAAATGCAGGCTACTTATAAATTGATCAATGAACAGTTCTGGGCCCCTCGGTTCAAGAAGGACAGGGAACTGCTGGAGAGAGTCCAGCGTAGGTCTACAAAGATGATTAAGGGAGTGGAGCATCTCCCTTATGAGGAGCGGCTGAGGGAGCTGGGTCTCTTTAGTTTGCAGAAGAGGAGACTGAGGGGTGACCTCACTAATGTTTATAAATATTTAAAGGGTGAGTGTCACGAGGATGGAGCCAGGCTCTTCTCGGTGACAAACAATGATAGAACAAGGGGTAATGGACACAAACTGGAACACAGGAGGTTCCACTTAAATTTGAGAAGAAACTTCTCCTCAGTGAGGGTGACAGAGCACTGGAACAGGCTGCCCAGAGAGGCTGTGGAGTCTCCTTCTCTGGAGACATTCAAAACCCGCCTGGACGCCTTCCTGTGTAACCTCATCTAGGTGTTCCTGCTCCAGCAGGGGGATTGGACTGGATGATCTTTTGAGGTCCCTTCCAATCCCTAACGTTCTGTGATTCTGTGATTCTGTGATTTATTGTACCACAAGCATCTTTAATATTTATAAGCTTTGTATTAATATAAACTAAAATGAATGTAATGTTACTGCCAAAAGAAACTGTTTCAGTTTATATGTAAATTAATGTAAAAACAGTACTTCTAAAAGGTGTGTACACATACAGATCTATTTAATCTAAGTAGGATGGTGAATGTGTACCTTTGATTCAATAGTCCAGAAAAATCAGTTATTTGGGACTTACTGCTATTTTGAATTCCATTATAATTATGAAAAGCTGAACAACAAGAAGAGCAATACTTAGTTTCATAAAATAGTGCAAATTTTAAAGGCAAGAGTCAGAAAGATATTGTTCATTTTACAGACCAAAGGGGAATGCAAAATACTACTTAGTGA